GCGGCTTAGCCTGTCCTTTTCTGAAAACTAGGGCTTTTTGGCCCACGAGTAGGGCCTGGGCTAGGACAAGGTCAGCCCAGCCTGGCCCGGTAAAGACTGGCCCTTCTTTTCTTTCTTTTTTGAATGTATTATGTCCTACCTGGTAAACAGCGTCGCCGGGCCTGCCCTAGGGCCTCTTCGGCTTGGCAGGCTCAACATATGCCCTATAGAGGCTAGAACCAGGCTTGGGTGGGGCGGGGCAAGCCCAGCCCATGCATAAGCCCATCCCTACAATAGACTACATCAGTAATTTAAAAATCCAAATCTGGATTTGGATGGCTAGAGGTTTTATTCCCAGTTTGCCCTGTTTGGTTCAAGTGACTAGTAAGTCGGATCGGACTATAGTAAATAGAAAATAGCATAATCAAATGGTAGGAGTTTTGAGGCAATTTTGGGGTTCTTTAAGCCAAAAACACCCCTAGCTTCTAATCCCAATTGAATTCCAAGTCAGATTGGGAATTTTTAAGTCATTGGTGGTCTTTTATATACGATTAGGATTATGTGCTGAACTTGTGATGCAAGGGAGTGTGGAAACAAAATAAATAAATTAGAAAATAAAAATAAAATTAAAGAGATAAAAGATTATATCTTTACATGGATATGTAAGGGAGTTTACTCTAGAAAATATATCTTTACAAGACCCAAAAGAAACTCTTTTTCTCCTCTATATATTTTTTAAAATCCAAGAGATATATTTACAAAAGAAAATGACCCAAACACCTAACTTATTCCTTAATAAACCCTAATTAAATCCTAACCCTTTATATATATGCAAGATTTAGCTACCAACTATACCCTCAATTCTCTAATTCTAAAAAAGATAGAAATACCTTAAAAGAAACTAGAAACCTAAAATAATCCCAAATCTAAAATAAAAAAAATAGTAAATAAAAAAATAAAAACATATTGCATCATTCTCTGTGGTTGGGAGAAGTTTGATATTGAGTATCTTGAGGAGTTGGTGATGAAATCCCATCATTCGCTTAGGTACTTTGTCTTCTTCAATACACCAATTATTAAAACACTTCAATGGGCAAATCATAGTGGAACTTAGGGGTGTCGAATGTTACTTTAAATTCTCTTTCACAACTTCTATAGTTTCGGGCAATATATCATCAATTGCAAGAGTAGGTTTTGGTGGCACGATGATTGATGAATCTTGTAAATGTTTGATATTAATTGCTGCAGGGAAAGAGGAGAAAGTAAATAAATAAACCAAAATAAAAAGATGAAAAATTATACCGTTTCTCAATGTCTTCAAGAAAATCCACCCCCAAAAGATCTATTCACAAGACTTAAAACAAGCTCCTAAAAAAGATCTCAAGACTCAAAACAAACTCTTATTTTCATCTCTATATTTTTTTGTAATCCAGAACTTAACATATTTATAAAAGAAAACAAACCTAGAACCTAACTTGAACCCTAAGAAATCCTAATTAAATAATAACCATTTATTCATTTGATAAAATATCCCATATATGCTCAAGCAACTTTCAGTATGATTAAATAATATTTTACAATGATAGAACTGTACAAGGATTGAGGTGATAAAGTACTTCAACATCCTACATCTCGCATGATAATTTAGATTATATCAGAGTGAGCATGAATCGCATATGCTCATTGTGCTTTTTGTGTGTGCTTTTTTTTTATAATTATTTCCTTTTTCTGATAAAGTTAATTTTTTAAATTATTGAGAAATTTGTCAAAATGTACCTAAAATATTAGCTAATAAACATTGTATACATATATTTCGATTTAATTTCAAAATACACAAGATTTTGAGTTAAAATAGTAGAGAAAAAAGAAAACATTAAATATTTAAAAAGAAAATCTATTGCCTAACATGGTAGTAAAGACCTTCAACGAGCTTTGAAATTGGTAGAATTTTAGAGGCTGTTTGGATACCTGGAAATATATTGTTTGTGAAATATATTACGAGCGTAATACATTACTGCACCTGCAAATGGATTGTTACTGTTTGGGTAGTATTTAGATGCAACTTGGGAAATACATTGCTACTGTTTGGCTATGTCCAAAAGAAATATGAGAATATGAAAAATAGGGCTATGTTTGACTAACATGATTAGATTTTGGTTTCAACATGATTTTGGTTTCAACATGATAAGTCATTAGAATAATATGATTGGAATAACATGATTTTATTGTGATAAGCCTTATTATTTATTTTTTATAGAAGACTTTCAAATGTCTCTTTATATATAATTTGAAATAAGCAATAAATTTATGATACCAAAATCAAAATCTTTATGGTGCAAGTTAAAAATAAGAAGAAGTTTGATTAGTAAACTAGAAGGTTTGGGAAGAAGTTTGATTAATAAATTAAAAGGGTTGGTAAATGCACTAAAAAAAAATTTAAGCATTAGAAGAGATTAAAGAGATATATTATTTCAATCGAGCTTTTACTAATCTCTTATGAGGATTATGTTGTGTGAAATTTTTTATTATGATTGTGTTGTGTAATTTCTTATCGATTACTAATTATTATTTTTATTATTTTTCTTTTTATATGAGAGCTCATGGCAGGTTACAATCCAATTTGGAGATAAAAGGACGGACGTAGAAAAGAAAATTTTTTAGTATGATTGTAGTAAAAAATTGTCTCTCATCAAGTTGCATAGTTGTTCTAATCAATTTAGATTTCCCTTTACTTTTACTTACCACTTATTAAAAAATTTTGTTTTTACATGTGAGTTAGATGAGAGCTACAACCCTTGCAGTAGAAAATCGTCCTCGTATACCTATTCAAATCAATTTAGATTCTCTTTTCATATCCCTTATTCTCACTTTCTACTTATCTTAATAATTATGCAATGCGCATAGGGAAATATTTTTTTAAGTGGAGATACGCGAAAGATTTCCAAAGATTACTTGGTAATATATTTTTCACCCCTCACTGGGTCTAATGGATTTCGTAATATTTGGGGAACTATCTAATAATCTCGAGTAATGTTTTCCATTTTTCTTACTATTAAAATGTATCCAAACAATGTAAATGTCATATTTCCTTGCAATTTATTGTCACGTAATAGATTTCCATATACCCAAACCGCCCCTAAATGTGTTTTGCGTAAAGAAATATTTCAACCAGAGGAAAATACTTAAAAATCAAAACTTGAGAGAAAATGGGCTTGGAAATATAACGCTTTAAAATGTCTTTCACCGGTTAAAACTTGCAAGCGTAACAAACCTTAATACTGATTTAGATGCTGTCAATCCATACCCTAATAAACTGGTGCAATGGATTTTTATTTTTAGATTTTAGATTTGAGATTATTTAATGTTTTTAGTTTTTTTTAGGGGTATTTGTATCTTTTTTTAGTTATACAGAATTGAGAAGTATAGGTGGAAGTTCAATATTAAATAGAAGAAAGATTAAGATTTAGTGATAGTTTCTCAAAAAATAAGTTAGGTTTTAGAGTTGTTTTCTTTTGTACTAATGTAATAGATTTTTATAATTTATTTTACTTTTTCTATATTTTAAGTTTGGGTATATCAAACTATGCTATAGTATTATGGGAAAATATGGTCCATACATATTTTTGACAAATTTTAGACAATGCAAAGTGCTTTATGCATCGGGGACAATCGGACACAGTTGCGTCCCTTAAGGTATCTCACATCGATCTTAAAGATGGATGAAAAGGTGGTTGTCCCTTCAAAAAAAGACAAAACATAGTTGGTTTTTAAATTTTTTTTTTAAAATATTATTTTAAATTTATTTGCATATAACAATAATATTCATAATTATATATAAGGTTTATGTTAGGGTGTTAGCACTATAGAACATTTTATAATTGTATTTAATAAAATTTGCGTCCCTTAAGGTATCTCACATCGATCTTAAAGATGGATGAAAAGGTGGTTGTCCCTTCAAAAAAAGACAAAACATACTTGGTTTTTAAATTTTTTTTTTAAAATATTATTTTAAATTTATTTGCATATAACAATAATATTCATAATTATATATAAGGTTTATGTTAGGGTGTTAGCACTATAGAACATTTTATAATTGTATTTAATAAAATTTGGATATTTATATACACTTGTTTTGTGCATGGAGCATATTTGTAGTAAAGATATTTTTCATCATTAAGAGGGATGTGCCATCACCACACAGAGTACATTAATGACATTTAATGCTTCATGTGGGTTATGTCGCACTTCATGTGAATGATATCATACCCCTCTTAATGATCAAGAATACCCTTACTAAAAAATATTATATTACAAAACTTGATACATAAACGTCTAAAATTTGGTGAGTATAATTATAAATTTTTCTATAATGTGAGCATCCTAACATAACCCATATTTGAAAATTAAGTTCAAATCCATCTAAAAAATAAATCATGAAAATTGTCCTTAAAAAAAAGAAAACCGTTTCTTGCGGGTTGGACCGTATGACTACATATACAGTCCAAAAAGTGTAAAGCATCCATCTTAAAGATGGATGCAAGTGGGTGTTCCATCTAAAAACAATGGAAACTAAATGTTCAAATATTTCTTCCTAGAAATATTATTCATAGTTTTTAAAATATTATTTATTAAAAATGTTATTTATGGTTTTTATAATTTATTTATTATTCACATTTATGATCTCTATCTTAGAGATTATATGTCTTTTAAAAATAAGTCCAAAAATCTATCTAAAAAATAGATTTATTATTTAACCCGCATTACTACATATCCGGATTTGGCCGCATAAAAACCGGATGACCGAATGGCCACCGACTACATTGTAAGGGGCCCGTACAAGTGACACACGTGATCCTTACCGTACGTGTCAAAATACGTCTGATGATGATGATGATCGGCCACTAAAATTTCACAAACAGATTTCACCGCTTTCTCTCTAAGCCACACGTCCCTCTCCCTCTCTCTCTTCTTTTAAGCGACCTTCTCTTTCTCTCTCTGCCCACATCTCTCCACAATGCTACTCCTTTCTCTCTCTAGCGACATCTTTCTTTCTCTAGAATGCCTTTTTTTCGTATAAATTCCCAAAAAAGTAACCTTGAAGGGAGAGAAGGTTCGTTCAGGAATTCATGGCTGATCAGTAGTCTTTACATTACTTTTCTCTGTGGTCCCCCTGAGAACACTTATCACACCAGCTGAATCTATGACCTCTTCATTCTCCATTTCATCCGCAATTCGAAGAAACCTCACCCCATATTCTTTATAAAATCCCTTTCTCTCTTTCTCGCTCTAACCTTTTTCTTCTTCTTTTCCCTTTCTCACCACTTCCCTCTCTCTCTCTTAGAGAACCCAGCTTTGCTTTGCAACTCCTCTACGATTCTGGAACCATATCTCCAGAAAAATCTATACATTTTCTGCAATTTTTGTGCAGATCTCTCTCTCTCTCTCTCTCTCTCTCTCTCTACTTCTCAAGGTTTTTATGTTGCACATGAGAAAACCCAGATCTTGAGAGCTCAGAGTTCAACAAATTTTGGAGTGTGACGGGAGGAGCAAGTGATGAGCCAGTGCGTCCCCAGTTGGGACCTCAAGTCGAAGCTCGGCCTCCATGTGGATGAAGATGATTTCCAGAACCTTTACGACCCATTGTACAGTTCGACACTCACTCTCTCTCTATACTTTCATCATATTTTTTAGAGAGAGAGAGAGAGTGATTCTGACATGGTTTCTGAGTATTTACGAATGTATGTGCGTGTAAGAGAAAAGTGGCCTTGCAGACTAGAGAGAGAGAGAGATCTTCTCACGTGTGATTCTCATAATTTGTGTGAACTTGTGTGTGTGAGGGTGAGAGAGTAGTTAAGAATTATATAGAGAGAGAGAGTGGTTGAGAAGATCTGCATGTGGGATTAGGGAAAACCTTTTTTTAATCATTTTTTGCTTTTTTGATTGAATAAAATAAGATTTGTACCTTTTACCTTGGTTTGTTGTGAAGTCTTCTTATGATAAAAAGCAAAGACGCCTTTTTTAGAACGGAAGTAAACCTAGAAAGATCTATTTTTGCCCCTCATCATGAGGATGCTCCAAATATGGTTCCGATCTAGAAGATTATTGAGTATCCGTGGTTTAGAACAGTATTTGCAAAAACTTGGCCGGTTTAACTTAGAACTAGCCGGTTCAAAGGAGCCACGCACTTGCCGTTTTTTTGTTTGGCCAGTTTTTGGAGGTTCAGCATTGCATTTAATAAATATATATATATATAAAATGTTCCTATAGGACCCTCCCTCATCGTTGTGTATAAGTCTAAATGATCATGGTACCTATCTTTATAAAAGTTATCAAATAAAAGTGAGACTTTACTTTTCTATAGGTTCCAATTTAATGACATCTTTTGGTTCTTTTATATATATATATATATATAAAAGTGTTTTGGTCATGAATATTTATTTTTATATTTTTTTATTTTTTATTTAGAAAATATCAAAAGCAACCTAGGCGCAAACCTATTTTTTAGAATGTATTTTTCATTAATTTTGAACTTCATTTGGACTTACTTTGTTTAATCAGGTTTTAAATGTACTTTTCATATTTTTTAGTTATGTTTTATATTTTTTATTTTTTAACACTTTTTTTTTACCAGCCTAGATTTGCCCGGTTGGGCCCGTCGACCGGCCGATTTACCCCTTACTCAGAACCAGCCATTGATCGGTTTTTGAGTCCGGCTTGATGTTTCCGACTATAGTTTGAATAATGTATTACAAGAATTGCCTCTTTTAGGGCTTGAAATTCATTTTTTTACACTGAAACCAATATAATCATTTCGAGGGTATTTCAGCATTCTCAACTATGATTTTGAGTGAAATAGCCGTGAGTGCTTGTATTAACCTTCTCCTTTACTGTATTGTGGAAAGGCAGAGTGAAGTTTGGCAAATGTGTGGTATTTGCTAAGATGGTTTAGGCCTTAGAGGGACGATGAAATTGGTCTGAGATATTTGTTTGAGCAGTGGTTCTAGTGGTGACTGGTCCTAATCATTCTAAAATCCAAAATGGCTATCTCTCTCTCTAATGGTGCATCTTGGTTGTGTCCTTACTTTTTAGGGTTTGTGCAGTAGTGGTGGTAGTGGAAATGATTCCAAGATATCCAACAGGAGAAGTGCATGTACATAATATAGCATGTAAATGGTATCTATGACCTCTACAATGCGTTTTCAACGGTGATGGAGAAGACCTTTATTTGTGCGATGCATATGAATCGTTCATTTGATTGCAATCATTCATTATCATTCAAGCAAAAGAAGGATTCATCTCCACAACTTTATAGTGGAGATAAAAGATTACTATTCTAAAGATTTTGATCCCTCTATATCTCTCCATGTGCTTGCCTGTGGATATGAATGACTATGTAATTTTGGTAATCGGGGTCGGGGTCGGGGTCGGGGAGTAGTTGACTATAAACATAATCTAGAATTTCTAAAATCAGAAATTGTGTTTCTGTATCTGAATTCCTATGTCATCTTACTGCAGGTTAGAATCGGACTACCAAGTCGCAGAATTAACATGGGAGAACGGGCATCTGACAATGCACGGGCTTGGCCCTCCAAAGCCCCCCATCAAGCCAGTCCAGCGGTGTACATGGGAAAAACCCCAATCCGGTGGTGGCGGAGGTGGTGGCAGTGGCGGTAGCGGTGGCGGTGGCGGTGGCGGTAGTGGTGGCGGTGGAGGTGGAGGTGGCGGTGGCGGTGGCACACTAGAATGCGTGGTTAATCAAGCCAAACGTGCGTCCCATGGCACCCTTGTAACCGTTGAGGAGCCTACGACCCTTGCCCCTTGGTCAGTGGATGCCCTTGTACCGTGCTCTGACCCGAAAGGCCCGGCACGCGCATGTGCAATAGATCACGCATCTGCCACATGTGCGAACGTGCCTGCAGTTCCAGGGCTCACGCCCAGCCAAAGAGGGCCAGGCACGTGTGTGGCATCATGTTCGTATCCCAACATCGTGCCTTCTCATTTCCAAACTCTTTTAAAGGCCGACGAGGGGACCTCGAAAAGAAAGAGGGCGAGAAGCATGCACGTGTGTGAGCCAATGTACACACGTGTGAGCGGACAAGGGATTGATGATAGCAAGAACAGGAGCATGCGCATGGGCACGTGCGAGAGGAGCTTTGATCTTGGGCTAGCCTCAACATCGATGGGATCACAAGACAAGACTAGCTCTGCAAGGCGTCTTGCAACTGAGGACCACGATAGTGCTAGCCACAGTAGACCACAGGTAAGTGTTCACCTTAGAGGGTGTGTCTGGTGCAGTTGGCAATTTTTTTTTGTTACTAAAAGATTTTATGCTTGTGGGAGCATATTGTAGATGCAGTTCGTGGCGGAACCCTAATTAGAAGAATTTCTATAACCCCAAGTTTTAGGCATCAAATCACTACAACCAAAGGACCAACCTCAAATAAATAAAAAAATGAAAAGAAAAAAAAATCACTAGAAGTAGTTTTACAACCCAAAATTTGGGGATGTAACTACCGCAACTTGGAGAAAAAGGAAAGTCACTACCTTATGTGACTGCAAAAAATAATGTCTTAATATTGAATAAAAAACGGTCTAATTCTCGAACGTTTCGCTCAGTGTTAAACAAACTTGAAATTCAATTTTTTAAATACTTATTTGTAATTTTAGTTTGGGACATGGTTGGAAGTAGTGAAAAAAGATATAAGAACTTATAGCCTCCATGAAAGTACGATTCGAAAGATGAATCACGATTGTGGCCAACCCCAATTAGTTAAAAAAGATTTTGACAATATTTGAAAAAAGCTTTGACGACAATGATGATGTTTGCAAGTTTAGTTTGGATTCCAAAAACATATGATCGAAAAGGTCCTATTCATGGTTTTGCCCTAGGCTGTATATGTACAATGTCTTCTGTCGTATGGAAGGGTCCTTGAACTTTTCTATTCAATTCTATACCTTTTTCCTTTTTGTTTTTTTGGGTACCTGTGTCTGTACATTTTATTTGGTGAATAACTTACATGTTTGCTTTTGTGTAATTTTCTTTATTGGGAAATGAAGAGGGAGGACGATGGTGAACACGATGAGAAAAGGAAATGCCAAGGAGAGAGATCCTCCGTTTCCACAAAGAGGAGTAGGGCTGCAGCCGTACACAGCCAGTCTGAACGTGTAAGAAACAAAACTCATCATTTACTAGGAAAAATATATAAAGAGACCATTTACGGTTACAATGACTCTTATTCGTCATATTTCAAATCGGGTAGTTTTAAGTGTGTCATAAACTGCTAGACTCAAAATTCAAGAACTTTTTTTTCGAACTTTGTAACGTACCACAAGCCATCTAATTTGACATCTAATTATTAAGAGTAAATGTGACGTTTTTGTAACAAAAGATAAATAGTCTCATAGTATACAATTCCATTTATTAAAATTGGTATTCATAATTGGTATCAATTCACCATTATGAATTTATCAGTTTTATTGGCATCAATGTAGGACAAAAAAAAATTTGGACCTAATTTTTCAGGTATATATAACCTCTAGCATGGAACTCATGAATGTGTAAAAAATAAAAGAATTTTAATAAAAGAATTTTTTCGAAAGAAACTCTTAAATAATTAATTTTCTCTTTTATAGAGGGATCACAACCATCAATGAGAGAGTAATTCAAATAAGTTCAGTATTTTTGGAGGTGACCCAAAACCCATGTTTCTTGAAAATGGAAGAAAGCCCCTTTGAGAGGAAAACCCTACTACTAAAAAAATGCATGAAAGATCTATCACATGTATGATGCCTCAAGGGATGCAAAATGGAGTTATGTATCCCCTACACATAAACAACTTTTCCATTAATTTATCATGACTTTATCACTCCATCAATTTATTGCTATCATATCAACATTAACTAATCAATTTTTTTTGTTATCAAAGTATCATTGTATAATCATGAATTCATGGAGGGGGAAATTATTTGCAGAAAAGGAGGGACCGAATCAACCAAAAGATGAAAGCCTTACAAAAGTTGGTGCCCAACTCTAGCAAGGTCTCCCCCCACTCTCTCTTGAACTAATCGAATGCATGTTGCTTTTATTTTGGGAACACCATCTCTCTTATTTGCCTGACTTCAAATCAGGTGATTAGGAGTATATCATTCACTAGACTCT